GTGGATACCACCATTTTGGTTTTTATTAATTTTAAATCTTGTGTTGGCTGATATGCGGAAAACTGACCAAATCCTCGAATAAAACTTTGACATACATTATTTACCTTCATCTCCCTTAGTTACATATATCTTTTAATTTATTATTGACATTTTCAATTTCAACTTTGAAGTTGCAAAAAAACTAATTATTAGATTAAAATGACAATTTTTAAAAATTTAACTCTTCTTTATATTAAATCACAAATCCTTCCATCTTCAGGTTCTTCTCTCACAATAAATCATTAGCAAAACTAAGTAAGCTGTTATAAACTTTAGAAATATTGCTGTGCCTTATCAATACAGTCTTTTGAAATATTAAAGAAACTATATCTATAGGTACTATAAAAAATGTTAAACAAATAATTTAGTGTTAAAGACAGCAGACAAATTAATATGATTATCAAAGCATCAAGGACTAAAAAATGTAATAGCAAATACAGTATATGTTTCATTGCATCTCTGATTCTACTCTAAAAATGTCAAAAACCAACTTAATATTATACAAACCAGTTGTTTTAATCAGTTCCATCATCCATTGCCTTTACATTTTCACACTTACCATTAAGTAAACATAGTAACAGATATTTCATAGATTTTAGAAACAAAAGAACACTGTGTACTGCAGTTTTATCATACCGGTATTTTCCTTATTGGTTTAATTTATTCAGTGTTGTTGCAAAACACTAATAATAAATGTATCAAATAAAGTAAATATGAGCTGAAAGCTATGCTAAGATGGTACTTTCCTGTTAAAGGGAACATTCATTATTATCGATGATTTTTTTCGATATATCGATATTTTTGTTTTCCGATATATCGATATTTTTGTTTTCCGATCAGATCTATTACAAATACAAATTTACAACAACAACTAACTGATCTTGTTTAGGCTAAAATAGTCTATATGGATTAAGAAATGAAACTATTCTAAGCTAACCTAACATAACCAACCAAACTTGCTGTACCATTTAAAACTTCCGTTTGGGTTTGATAATAGAAAAGGCAAGTTAAACACGGAATTTTTAAATGTTACAGCAAGTTTGGTTAGTTATGTTTGGTTATTTTTTTAGAACAGTTTCATATACTGAACAATATTTATCGCAGTTGTCAGCTGATATGTTTCAATTTGTTAATATCGATATATCGAAAAAAATCATCGATAATAATGAATGTTCCCTTTAACAGGAAAGTACCGCTAAGATAAAATAAGAGTATGTTGTATTATTAAATTCAAATTGTAAATATTTCATTTCAACCAAGTCAGTAAATGTTTAAGTAGCTAACTGTTAAACTAGCAAACTTAATTGACTGTTTACAATTGTAATATGTTCTTCTTCTCACTTTTAATTTTTGACAACGGCTGGAGTTTCATAACAATATTTGTTTCCCATGTTAATCTTATGGAGAAATACAAAACTATTGTCACAAAAAACCTGCTTGCGTATTAAATAAGTACTAGTGTCCCTGTTGCTCGAGTTCGAGGAATTGCTAAGTATTACAGGCATTATTTTAAAACGAACTTCAACCAAGTCAGCAAATATTTGTAGCAAACTGTTTTATTAGCAAACTTATTGACTGTTTACAATAACCTATGCTCTTCTTCTCACTTTTGATTTCTGACAACAGCTGGAGTTTCATAACAATTTTTGTTTCCCATGTTAATCTTATGGAGAAATAAGAAACTTTAAAGGGCTCCAGGGCCTCACTCTCTCATTATTTCCCTAAAAAGAAAGTTTCCTGCACAACTTCACGCTACGCTATTTCCAATGACACCAAAAACATGACAATCGGTTCAGTAGTTTCGGAGGAGTAATTGTCACAAAAGATCTGCTTGCGTATTAAATAAGTACTAGTGAACCTGTGCGGCTCAATGCCCCGCAAAAACATATGAATTCAGAAAACAAATTCATCGTGTTATATATTGACTCGTCAAAAATTAAATACAGTAATAATAAAGTCTTAGAAGGGAAGCAATCCAGCTATTTTCTAGCTGTATGCGTATTATATTTAGTAAATTAATAAGTGTTCAAGTTCAAGTATGTTACATGGTAGTTATTTTTTAAGATTCTTAAAAACACATTTAACAAAACATTTTATCATATCAAACCAATAGGCAGTGAATGTAGCATATACCTATGTGAGGGTCATAAAATGCTGCTTGAAGAAAACACTTTTAAAAATAAACACTAAAAAACAATATTTTTATCACAAAAGCACTTCCATAAATACTACGATTTTAGTCTTAAAGTTACCTTCAGGAATATTACCCTGGTCAGAATTTTCCGTAATGAATATGCTTATCCTACTATTAAAAGATGTAGCCTTACTTAAAACAACATATACAGTATATAGTTGTTGCTCATGACTGAAATTGGTCTGGCTAAGAACATTGCTGCTCTTTAATTAAAGTACTTTTGCTGCAAATGCCAAAGATAACAGAAATTAGCATCTTTCCATTTTAAAAGGTAACTTTGTTTCAGACGGGCAAATCTTTTATCATAGAAATCAAAATATGTCCCTACTCACTTGTTCCATGTTAGGACTTTACTTTCTACTTTACATTGTTGTTAAACGTTCTGATCACACGAAGCCTCGTGCCATTAATGAGCCCCTTTTTGATGTATTAATATCAATAAAACCACTGACTCCTTTTATTAGTATAATCTGTGTCTTGGCAATCCACTGACCTCTATATTTAAAAACTCAGTTGGATTTTCTAGATGGGTGCCTCTGCCTTCGACTGTTTTCAAGGATCCACTCTTCCCCTTGGCATACTGACAATTAATTACCTAACTTGTAAAGTTCATGTAGTAATTCATTAATACTGTTAGTATATAAAGAAAATTAGATAAAAAGTACTTGGCTTGGTGCTTTCATAACTGCAAACTCAAAATACACCCACAAGTAAAAAAGAATCAAGTTATTGGTAAAAAAAAACTATGTTCGTGTAAAAACATTATTCACATGAAGTAGATGATTTGTTTGATTTCTCGATCAGCTGTTTCAAAGATTTGTGATTTTAAATACATCAATTATTATAGTAAAGTTTTCTAAATATGGTAACTTATTCTCAACTAAATTTTACTATTCCCAGCATGAAAATAAAGTAGTGGGATCCGTTATGAGTAAAGTTTAAGGCACACAATCATTGATTGAAATGTAGTATACATTAACAGTCATAATACATAGCAATTATTATTTAGTAGACTTTGACTATTTTCAAATAACAAACATATGTTTCTGTAAATAAAAATTATCTCCCTTGTTATCCTTATGGAGAAATACGAAACTTTAAAGGGCCCCAGGGCCTCACTCTCTAATTATTTCCTTAAAAAGAACGTTTCCTGCACAACTTCACGTTACGCTCTTTCCAATGACACCAAAAACATGTCAATCGGTTCAGTAGTTTCGGAGGAGTAATTTTCACAAAAATCGTGCTTGCGTATTAAATAAGTATAGACTAGTGTACCTGTTGCTCGAATTCGAGCAATTGCCAAGTATTAAGTTACAGGCGTTATTTTAAAACAAATAGCAGCCATAATTTCTGATGACTTAAAAAAATTCGACTCCAAGATTATGGAAATACTCAAGATGTACATAACAAATCGGTATAATCAACATTTCTTGTAAATATCTGATCATTTTTCAAAAGGTGATCTTGTTTTTTAGCGTTTTCTACTACTCATAGCCGCATTAGGTTGTCCATAATAACGATTATAAATTAAAAAAAAAAACATTATTTCTATTTCTTCTTCTTGGTGGTGTTCTATGACTTTCCTATGTTTAGTATGTTTCCGTAGTTTGCAAATCGGCTCTTTCATGATTACTAAGAAATTCAGCACAGTGTTAATTCAGTTTTCTTTTTAGTATATCAAATTATCCAGCTCCCTCGCTTTTTTCCATTGTAATATTTACGCCAACCCAAATTCAAATACTATAGTAAATATTTAACTTAATCCAAGTCAGTATATATGTTTGTAGCAAACTGTTAAATTAGCAAACTTATCGACTGTTTACAATTAACATATGTTCTATTCTCAATTTTAATTTCTGACAACATCTGGAGTTTCATAACACTTTTTGTTTCCCATGTTAATCTTATGGAGAAATACAAAACTTTAAAGGGCCCCAGGGCCTCACTCTCTAATTATTTCCCTATAAAGAAAGTTTCCTGCACAACTTCACGTTACGCTCTTTCCAATGACACCAAAAACATGTCAATCGGTTCAGTAGTTTTGGTGGAGTAATTGTCACAAAAAACTTGCTTGCGTATTAAATAAGTACTAGTGGTCGTCCAGTGGTCGAAACTCGACCTAAAATATCCAATGTACAGGCTTCTCTATTTTCACCCCACGCTGTAAATAAAATATGTGATTGTAATTTCTTCCATTTGTTTTGATTTTCTGTTTATATTTTGTTGTTATTTCGTCGCCAACATAGCAACCCATAAAACCCATGTTAATTTTTTTTTATTTCAAATCCATTTTTTGTGCTTATATTTGAGCCTATTTTAATTTTTAAAGGGATTCTGCACTTCTACAGGAAAATATCTTTCTAAAGGTATGCGTAGATTTTCCCTGCGATGCACACGAGCTGAGAAAAAAGGTTTTAAAGAAACATGCTTGCCTATTAATATATAGATAGATAGATATACAGATAGATATAGATAGACTTTAAAAAATTAGGAAAATCAATCTCCTTAAAACCAAATCACCACAAATCCTTCAACCACTCAAAAGTCACAATACAATAAATCATTAATAAAAAAACACAAACATCAGCTGTTATAAACTTTAGAATATTGTTATGCCTTATCAATAGTGTTTCATCAGAATATATAAAAAAAACAACATTTAATTTCATATAATTTTATTCATTTCAGTACATCAATATAGAAATAGCAATCTATACTATATAAAGTTGGAAATGATTAATTTACCAAATATCGAAATATTAGAAGGTTTCAACTGACTTATACGATCCCCGCCCATAGATAAAACAGGCACCCTGCTAGTTAAATATCAAGATATCTCTTTTCACCCAAGACAAGGTCCATTAGTGGAAGTAGGCCTAATCATTTTAACAAACATAATAAACAGTTTTGTTTTTTACCAGGCAGAAGTACAAACAAATATTAAAAATTTAAGAAAACATCTTTATAAAAATAATAAAATTTTCTTAATTAAATAATCTAAATGAGGAAAAAAATTGAATAAAAGTATACTGGTATTCAAAATAAATATTAAACTAATCATTATAATGAATCTAAACTGATTTGTCTTCACTTCTTCAGCCTTCTCTCCCCCAACCTACATGCCTCCATCGCCATCCACCCTGTCATCAGGCCTGGAATATAACAGAACAAAAATTAATACAGTCTAACCTTGATATAACGAACCTCGATATAACGAATTCCTTGATATAACGATTTTTTTTTAATCCCCTAGAACTCTCCATAAGACACAATGTATATTTTACCTCTACATAACGAACAAACCATAACAACGACAACGATTTTGATGAAATTTGGTACAAACGTGTAAACCTACGTTTATTTGAACGAGTTCGCGATCCAGCATGATCGGACCATGGGAACGGGGGTTTACGGGGGGTTTTATGGGGTAAAAATAGGTTTTTCCCATTTTTGACCCAAAAAACATAAAATTTAGCAATTTCTTTCCAAACCATTTTGTAGAGCTTAAAAAAACAAATAATTTAGTATATTGAAGCGTTATTATGCGCCTAATGGTTACGGAGGAAATTCTAAAAAATTGTAAATTTAAAATTCCCATGTTATTCTTATGGAGAATAAGTAAACTGTTGTAGTTTGCTTGTTTGTGAACATATTTTTATCAAATTTGGAAAATGTTTTCATTTTTTACTAACTATTAACGTTTTACAAAAAAACAGTTTTACCCTCCCTGATGCAGCAAACCTAAGTACTTGTTAAACTAATTCTATTTAAATCGGGAATAAATGTTATATTTGTAAGTAGACATTTCAGTGTAAATCAAATCAGTCAAATGGAAATTCGCTTAGTCTGCAGGTTTGCTGCGATGGGGGTATTTTATTGTTGTTTTTAAATTGAAATATTTGTATATCAGCTTAGAATTAGGAAATTTAACGTCATCAAACAATGTTTATGTCGAGGGTAGGTTAAGTTAAGAGGAACTTGGTTGAAAATATACATATCATGAAACGTGAACATGACCATGAAACGCTCATAAAAAGTTATTCATTGAATAGAATGTGAAATCTACAGAAAGTGTCAAAAGTTATAATATAGATAGGTAGTAGCTACCTCTGGATTAGAAAACATCATAACTAATCTATGGGTAGTATGCCAGTACGTAGTGTGTTGTGAAATTTTAAAGCCTATTTAAATTTAATTTGAATTTCCCGCCCTTAGCGCCACCTGCGGTGGCCGAGGTCGGCAGTGCTTATCTGTCCGTTGGGTTTTAAAATCATATCATTGTACTAGTGGGGGTGCTGGCTACAAGTTTGCATGGCTCCTGTGATAATGTAAGTGTTACATTTATTTAGTTTAAGGATTTTTATATTCATGTTTAAAATGCTTTTTCAGGTGCTACAATTTAGTTGAAAAACATAATTAACCAATTTGTACAAGTCTTTATTTACTGTTAAATTTCGTTTGCCACGTGTGGTCAGTTAGCCTGTTTGAGTTTGTAATTTCTTGAATAGTAAAACATCAGAAGAGTTTTGAGAGCTATATAAATTTAAAATGAAAATTATATAACTTTAATATTAGGTTCTGGTCAAATGTAAATTTTTATTCAATTTAATGTAACTTAACTCAATGAATGATTTTTTGTATTGAATACTTTAAAAGAAATCCGAATCAATGTTTTATACCTTTTATGCTTTTCCAACAGGTCTCTTGTAATATTAATTTTATTTTAATTTAAGCTTGTGTTAATGGTTTTGCAGACGGGAGTCAAAATTTGTTCAGCTAATTCTTAACATGGCCCAGCCCACCCCTGCTGTATTGAGTAATGTACCATTTCATAGTTTTGGGTACTAATAACAATTAAGGCTAGCATATGTGTAAAGGGTTATTTTGTTTAAAAATTAATAAATTGTTGAATCGTAATTCACTGAGTCGTTATTATTCGACTCCCCTTGTTCACGGGTCAACTTGGCGACCCCCTTGGCTCTGATCTGCGAGCTAAAGGAAGTGGATCTAAATTCATAATTATATTCAATTGGCCATCCTGGAATATAATTAATTTGCGCGACTCTGCTACACTTCCTGAGCTTTAAGATAACCAAGACATTGAACGAGGTCATTTAGGCTACTCCGAGTATTTCATTTGAACTTTTATGAACTATCAAAACCCAGTGTAGTGTTGTGTGATTATTAAGTTAAGAACTATAATTACGGTTGAACTGTAATCACAATACTCATAAAGGGATGATAAAGGACATGTCGGTATAAGTATATTGTAATAAGATTTTGAGGGTATTTTATCATTACAATCTTAAACCGGTTTATTAAATAGGCTGAATTTAAATAGTTCAAGTAAACAACGGTGAAATCGAACAGCTAGGTGCTAAACAAAAAGGTTTAAATTAGCTTAAAGAATTCTAATGTGTTGATCCGAATTTTGAAACTAATAGGTAGGGTTCACTAAATCCTTCCTTTCCTCACCTTTATCAGCAATTATCCTATTATCAAGATGGCGAACTACAATGTCAATTATCTTCAAAAGGGCGAGTTGATTTATGAAATAATGTGCAGAGAGCTAGACTGTCAACATGAGGTTTTAAATAAATTAAGTGTAGATGAACTCAGAAAATCCTTGCGTAAAATCATTGGGCAGGCACCTAATTTTTCAAACATTGAAAATAAGTTGACTGTTTTGGCGGAGATTAAATATTGCCAAATAGCGTCAAGCGTATTGCAAGTGCTAATAGATCGACAGTCTGAAGAGCCTACGGCGCTGAATTTAGCTAAGATAAATGCAAAGCTAGCGCATTTAGAGCTAAGAGCAAACATGTTAAAACGAAGTATACTGTTAGAAACCGACCGCAAAACCGTTGAAGAGTTAGACAAAACCATGATTAGTCTTAGTAATAAACTGTCAGAAATCGAGAATAAAATCGCCCCGGACGAATACCAACGTTTTCAAGAAGAATTAAATAAATCGTTAATCGAGAGTGAGTCAGCCGATGAGGAAATAAACGGCGTATCAACCGGGCAGCTTATCACCTCTTCACCTAGTAATCAGCTGAGATTAGGGAACCACGACACGGCACACGTCCCACCTCAAGGTCACTGTACGCCCCCGCACCCCGCTGACTCTGTTCGTCCCGCTCCTACACCGCTGCCACCGGTCGACTTGTTCCAGAAACTAGCAAACCCATTGGAAAAAATTTTGTCAAAATTTCCAGAGAATTGTACTGGTATGGAGATAACCCCGTTACTAAACTTTCTGAGACAGACAGTAATTTTACAACAGGAATCGCGCCTACCCGAAGATCAGATATTTAGAATAATTAGCAGGTACGCTATTTCTCCGCTCATTGGAACAATAATAGAATGCCAAAACGGCGGGAAAAGTATCATACAAACACGCAGGGAAATATTAAATTCATTTATTCCAGCAGCTTTGGGAGAGCAATTAAAATATGAGTATATTCATCGTCCCCAACGCTACGATGAGAGTTTATCACTGTACTGCGAGGAAATTAAATTAAATAACCAAGTATTTATGGCAAACCTAACGGAGAAACAATTGCTTGACTCTATTAGAAATGGATTGAACCCGGACACCCGCAACAAGATAGCTGTATATAAATTCCCCGAAACAATGAATGAATTGAAACTTATTGTGGTGCAAATGAACAATTTGGTCTATAATGATTATTTGCGCAACAAAGCGTGCGCCAACGTAGTCCCTATGAGACCGGTATTAACCGCGGCCATGCCTGTTTCGCAGCCTGTTGGATTGCCTGCAAATCACGTAAATGAGCAAAATGTGTACCATCACTCAAACTTCCACAGTCGCCAACCAAGTGATGCAAAGAGATGTTTTATTTGTAACAGACCAGGCCATTTAGCCCGGCATTGCTATCGTGGTTCAAAAAACTAGTAGACGCGGGAAAATTTGCCATTAAGTCACAGCACCAGTTTAAGGTAAATTTTCCCGCCAATAAAAACATTTAACAAACCTATTGCCCAGTTAATCACAATAATGAGTTTACTAAACATAGTAAGGATTTTAAGAAGGAGTTCCGGAAAATAACAAAACAATGGAATAGTTTAAATAGGAAGAATTGTATGCCGACAAAGGGCCGAACGGTATCAAATTTGCCGTGCGTAAATGTGATTATCAATGAGAATATAACTATCCCAGCATTAATTGATAGTGGTGCTTCCTACAACATTTTAAGTTTAGAATTATTCGAGCAATTATTGAAGAGTAAACATGCAATTAGATGTAAACAAAGCATACCTAGTCATTTAATGGCGGCAAATGAAACTCCTATAAATGTAATAAATGCATGCAACTTAAGGATTAAAATTGGAAAATTTACATGGTGGGAGAAATTTTTAGTCATTGAGTCAAATCGATACAAAATAATTTTAGGAATGCCTTTTCTACAGCACAAGGGGCTTTGTATTGATTTCCAGAGTAAGACCTGTCATTTCAAATTTGATCCAGGATATTTAATTGAATTAAATGTGGACGACCAGATCGATCCAGGATTAAATGCGATAAGAATAGGATGCATAGAAATGCAAGACGAAACCAAAAAGTTTATTGCCAAATATCCATCGGTATTCACAGATCAAATCGGCGAAGCACTCGACCTTGAGATAAAGCTAGAGGTCACTGACCCCACTCCAGTTTCGATACGGCCCTATAATCAGTCCTCCGGCCATAGCTAAAATGAAGGTTATCATTGATGAATGGTTAAAACAAGGAATTATTGAACATAGCACGTCTCCTTATCAAAGTCCCGCATTTTTAACCAAGCGTGACCGTCTCGTTGTAAATTACGCTCAAGTTAACCAGCGTATAAAGAATATTTCTTATCCACTGGGTGATATTGAAAACATGTATCAGCATCTGCAAGGGGCGAATTATTTTTCTATATTCGACCTTAATAAGGCTTTTTTACAGTGCCCATTAAATGAGGAGAGTAGGGATTTAACCTCATTTGTATGTGCGGTGGGAAAGTTCCGTTTTCGCAGAGTATGTTTTGGTCTAAAGGTGGGAAGTTCCATATTGAGTAACTACATGGATAAGATATTTTATCACCTGAAATATAAGCATCTATTGATATATTGTGACGACCTTCTAATTTTTAGTAAAACCAAA